ACTAAGAATGGGGAGAACCATAGCGGAACCTAGAGGAACCAATCTTGATCTGTCGAGATCAAAGATGTAGAATCGCGTCGAGATTTGGATACAAATGTGAAACACTGCGACCAACGCGAACGTAACTCGTAGCGACCGAGGCGATGTGGATGATAGCTGCTACTAGCGAGCTCCTCTTGACATCTCTAGCAACATCTGGCGAATGACTTGTGGCTCATCCTACTATTACTAACCGCCTTTTGTTGGACATCCATGGTGATTAATTGGTGGTCTATGGAAGGCAATGCGCACAACGTCGGCTGCTGTTTATAGTAATCGACTATTCTACGTGACACAAGAACAAAAGGAAAAGAGGAGAGCGAGAGCTAGGGTCCCTGGAGCGACGTGCATGACAGTCGGCAACTTGGACTTGAACATTCGACAGGGCGACAACAACAACGAGCCATCGGTTACCGAGTATGGAAGTCGCCCATCACTTCTTCCCTTTCATTCTCTCATTCAAACACCCGCTCGTCAATGGGAATCGGCGCGGGTGTTGCTAATCATAGCTCATCCCCCTCGGAGGACGGGCGATCATCAGGATTGGCCCCTGGGTGTCGGTAGCTTGCCTACAAAAGACTCGGGGGGGCGAGCCAAGATCTCTTTCCTCACTTCTCTCCCTCTCTCGTCAAGCCCACTTCCTTCTCTCTTTTCTTTCCTTTTCACCCCCGTCGATCCGGGTCTTACTACTAGCTTTACTTTTACTTCTTCACAAGCTCAAGTCAGCTTTACACTTTCTAATCACCGGATCGCTCTTCTTTTACAACCAAACCTACACTCTCTTTCCCAAACAACAACTATTTCTATTCAACAAGATGCATATCAGGTCCAGCACCATAAGCGTTCATGGCGTTTTGAACGTAGCTGTAGATAGCCGACAACTGTCCCTGATCATACGAAGCCATATACGATTGCATCTGCTCCACACTCGGGGGAGAGGTCGCAGAGCAGTCAGCAGCAGCTTGTGTCTCGGTGGGAGTAGGTGGCTGCTCATAAACCGCAGACGTCTGTTCACCCGCACCTTCAACGGTCGAAGTCTCTCCTCCACCTTCATACGCTGCGCTCGTCTCGGTTGCCGCGGGTTGTTCGTAGGTAGCGGTAGGTTGTTCACCTGCACCTTCTACACTTGAAGTCTCGCCTTCGTAAGCGGGGGTGGTCTCGTTGGCACCTTCAACGGATGTGGCTCCTTCGTATGCGGCAGTGGTAGTCTCGCTCGCGCCTTGTTCAGCGGGGGTGGTTTCTCCTCCACCTTCATATGCGGGCGTGGTCTCGCTAGCTCCTTGTTCGGCGGGCGTGGTCTCTTCGTACGCGGGAGTGGTCTCGTTTGCGCCTTCAACAGAAGTCTCACCTCCACCTTCGTACGCGGGAGTGGTCTCACTAGCTCCTTGCTCGGCGGGTGTAGTCTCGCCTCCACCTTCGTACGCGGGAGTGGTCTCACTAGCACCTTCCACAGAAGAAGATTCACCTTCATAGGCGGTGGTGGTCTCGCTGGCGCCTTGTTCAGCAGGAGTAGTCTCACCACCATTCTCATAAGCAGGAGTGGTCTCGCTGGCTCCTTCAACACTCGAGCTCTCCCCACCACCGTTATTGTAATTATTACCGCCACCGTTATAGTTTCCGTTATTGTTGCCGTTATTGTTGTTCCATTGG